TGTATCGTGAAAAGCGCTATACAAATAAACTTTAATTGAATTGTTAACATAAGAATTAAGAGCAAATAATTAAAATATTAATTGGAGCCTTCAGGTGTAAGACATCAGCAATGATCTTAGAGAAGCAATTGTTGCTGCCATCAATCTGGGAAGAGGAACCATTTGTAAGAAATTTAAAAAGAGGGGCTCTCCCAACAGAAGAGGAGGCGCAACCAAAAATAAAAAAACATGAGCTGAACAAAGGTGCAACACTCACTCTTCAAAGTTCAAGCTTTATTAATAAAACAACATGGCATTTCGGCCATCCAAGGCCTTTAAGAGGAACAATTTGAACAGAGAACAATTTGAAGTCCATCATTCTACAGTGAGGTAGATTATTCACAAGTGGAAGACATTCAAAACAGACACCAATCCTCCCAGGAGTGAACATGCCAGCAAATTCACCCCAAGATTAGACTGTGTAACGCTCAGAGAAATGGCAGACAACCCAAGAACTTCACCGCAGGCTCCACAGGCCTCAATTAAAGTTAAATGAATAAATTCACGACAGTACAGTTAGAAAAATATGGGACAAGTATGGCATGTTTGGAAGGCTTGCCATAAGAAAGCTTCTTCTATCTAAAAAAAAAAACATGGCAGCACGGTTTAGGTTTGCAAAGTTGCATCTGAACAAACCATAAGTCTTCTAGAACAATGACCTTTGAACAGATGAGACCAAAGTGGAGTTGTTTGGCCATAATGCACAGCAGCACGTTTGGTGAAAACCTAACTAGCATATCAGCACAAACACCTCATACCAAAAGTCACGCATGCTGGTGGAGAGCTGATGATGTTGGGCTTGTTTTTTAGACACAGGACCTATGCACCTCACAGTCATTGAGTCGACCGTGAACTTTTCTGTATACCAAAGTATTCTAGAGTCAAATGTGAGGACATCCATCCAACAGCTAAAGCTTGGCCAAGATTGGGTGATGCAACAGGACAATGATCCCAAGCACACCAGCAAATCTACAACAGAATGGCTGAAAAGAAAAGAATCAAGCTTCTGCGATAGCCCAGTCATAGTCCAGATCTCATCCTGACTGAAATCATGTGGTGAGAGCTGTGTATAAACAAATGCCTACAAACCTCAATAAACTGGAGCAACGTTGTAAAGAAGAGTGGGCCAAAATTCTTCCAGAACGATGTGAGAGAGTGATAAAGTCATACAGAAAATTATTACTTCAAGTTATTGCTGCTAAAAGTGGATCTACAGGCAATTGAATCATAGGGTGTCCTAACTTCGTCACACATGGCTTTTCCATCTTGGCTTTATTTTTGTTAATCAAATAATGCCACAGTGTGATATGTCATGTGATATTGTTCATCTGAGGCTTTATTTCCAAATTTTTAGACTTCTGTTGGACCAGATAATTTTTCTATTATCTCCCGATACAGAAAACTATGGAATTCAATAGGGTGTCCTAAATTTTTCACATGACTGTATGTATATTATATATATATATATATACACACATATAGCACAGAAATACTGCACCTTAGAAACTGACGTAGTTAAATGAACATGAATCCATGAAATGGATGTCAAAAATGAACATCATATTCATTCTTTTATTAGACATTAACAAAAGCCATGGACATGAACTAGAAGCATCTGGGTCTTTTGCAACGTCTTGACATCTTCAGAGTATCATCTGTCTCCATTCCCTTTTAAAGAACACAAACAGTGATTCAATGGATTAGATTGAACACTATATTAAAAACATACTTTAATGCTAGTTATGATCAGGACTGTGGCTTAACTGTACCTACCAGTCTACATAAGGCAGTAGCAGGGCGCTTGCGGGAGCAGTTTGTGACACTCAAACTTGTTCTCTGGAAGGCTGTAGTCAGTTTATCTATGGAGGATGATGGTTGGCCAGTATAAATACCTGCTTGGGTCCGACCGTGCCCATGGGTCTGCCCAAAAGCAGGGGTCTGTCCAAAAGCTGGGACCTGACTGGAAGCAGGGGTCTTCCAGAAGTTTGGGGTTCGACCGTGAGCAGAGGCCTGCCCAAATGTGCAGCTCTGACGGTGAGCAGGGGTCTTGCAGAAGGTTGGGGTTCGATAATGAACAGGGGTCTGTCCGAAAGCTGGGGTTTGACCCTGGCATTTTAAATATGAACGTGATGCTGCTCCAAATTCTTGAGACTCATTACTGAAACTCATCTTCTGGAAGGTTGCGATCAGTTCATCGACAAAGGATGATGGGTTAGTATACCCACAGTGCACAATTAACCCACCATTCTGACCAAAAGCAGCAGTTAGGCCAAAGAAAACCTGCCCTAAACGCTGGCTAAAGGCAAGCTGACTGAAGTCAGGTAGTCGCCTGAAATGTACACACTGCATTGCACTACTAGATGCAGCTATAATTATTGCACTAGGCGGTTTTTAAATAGCTACATTTCGTCAATAGTTGCTGGTAGTAGGCTACTCAACTCTCTTGCCGCTCCTTTCTCCTCATCGACACTTTGTAGCACAAACCGTCCTTTTGACTTTAATCTGCATAAGCGAAGATTCTATTTTAGAATGCTATTTACTGCTTGTGGCTTCATGTTAAGACGTCATAGTAACGCCACTGCCGTGATTCCCACACATTCTATTGAATGATTAAGAAATCGTCTTTTTAGGAGTCAACTTTACCGAACCAGTCAGGCATTTGTATCTGAAGTTTCCTTGTACATACGTACAACGCAAACATCATTGGCACGTGAAGGGTTAACGTTATTTAAAGTAGGGCGTTTTCCCCATTTAAAATTGAGAGCGAGTAAAATTCATCTTTATTACAGCAGCAAACATCATCAGATAAGCAAATAAACACGTCAACGTCAAAGTTTCATTCCAAGACATAATTCCTATGCAAACTGTCACCCTAGTAAAAAGCCATGTGAACATTCCTTGGTCAATTAAAACATCAACAAATAAAATTTACAAGCATGTCACTCCGAGCAAGATTGCATTGTAAATCTTGAATATTAATTATAATGCAATATAGAGACTTGTATTGTAATATTCATTGTATTGAAATCAATTTCAGCAAATAATCCTAGATATGGGTTCATGTTAAATATTTATTTCATTTTGGTTGGGGTACGCAGTAGACATCACATCAACAATTTCTAAATATCGCTTATCATGGGCAAAAAGACCATAAACATTATACAAATAGAGTCCGAAGTAAATGCTGCGAACGAGGTCATGAGGTCAAGGATTAGGCCGTCAGTCAATGATGCCCTTTGGTGGTTGGAAATCGAAATATTTTATAGGCTATAATTTAGGGACATTTTAGGTTTTAAACTACACAATATACTACGTACAACTAAAACATGTTTGTACTCTCTCTGGTTGTCAAACTCAGTGAAACATGTCTGAAGTTCATGTATTGTACCACATCAGAGGTTAAACAACTCTCTTCGACTTGATCTTGTGTGTAATTGGTAACTGCAGATTTTTTTCCCTCGGTTTATGCATTCACCTGAATGTGCCAATATATTCTCCAAATGTATTGGAATGGTCCAAAATAATGTAATAGACTAAATCATATGTTATTTATTCTAACTTTAGTTAGCCATTTTAATAACTGGTCAGGGACAACACAGATGAAATATCAGGCTCATTTACAGTCCTGTTTCTGTTGATTAATGAGGGCAATGTACAAAACGGTCATTGAGGTGGTTCCCTTTCAAAAGTACATTTAAAAAAAATTACTAATATGTACCATTTAGGGTTAAGTAAGGAACAAAGATGCACTTTAAATAAACTACATTTGTATCTACTTTTTTCATATTAACGTGCTGTGCTTTTAGCTGCTGCTCTGTTTATTCCCATATGAGAGAGGAAACAGTAAATCCGGTGCCAAAGAAAGTGTTATAATGTAGCTTCAGACTAGACAAACACAAGATGAGCTTCTCTGACCTGCGTGAACTCCTGCTGTAATATTTAGTGACACCTGGTGGGATAACCTTGAGCATGTCAACAGATTCAGTCATTGTTTTTATTGCTGAACAAATCATTTTATTACTAATATGTACCATTTAGGGTTAAGTAAGGAACAAAGATGCACTTTAAATAAACTACATTTGTATCTACTTTTTTCATATTAACGTGCTGTGTTTTTAGCTGCTGCTCTGTTTATTCCCATATGAGAGAGGAAACAGTAAATCCGGTGCCAAAGAAAGTGTTATAATGTAGCTTCAGACTAGACAAACACAAGATGAGCTTCTCTGACCTGCGTGAACTCCTGCTGTAATATTTAGTGACACCTGGTGGGATAATCTTGAGCATGTCAACAGATTCAGTCATTGTTTTTATTGCTGAACAAATCATTTTACATAACTGAATAGCTCACTGTTTGCTTCATCTGAATAATTACACAAGCTTGCGTTGAGATGTTTCCCTCTGGCCTCCAAAAACCTCAACAATGCAGACTGTAATATCAATCATTATGACGTAACACAAAAGTCTACGCAAGCGGAATCAAGACAAAACAGTGATTATTTCAATGAGTGAAATATTTATTTAAAAACTGAAAAATAACTCACACACATAGTTTTAGTATATATCATACAAAGATATTCTCCAAAATGTTACTGAGCGGTCTTGTTTTTTTCTCCATTAACAAAAGTGAGAGGCAGTTTAGAGGCTGGCTGAGCTGGTAAGACTAGACAACCGAATCTAAACGGTGAAACAAACCATTATTACCGGAGGTGATGATGACACTCCAAAAAACGGAAATTAAATACCCAGTGTCGCAACTTAACATAACGACCAAAGCAGTGCAACAAGTGAAACAATATGAGGGTATTAAAACATAACAACATAAGGGATATACAGTATATACCATTTCTCAGTTACAGCATCCATCCAAACACACACACACGTTATATTAGTATTAAAGAACACACACGCACACACTCATGGTTTAGCCAACACATGTTCATATCGAGTCTACAGGGCGAGTGAAACAATATGAGGGTATTAAAACATAACAACATAAGGGATATACAGTATATACCATTTCTCAGTTACAGCATCCATCCAAACACACACACACACACACACGTTATATTAGTATTAAAGAACACACACGCACACACTCATGGTTTAGCCAACACATGTTCATATCGAGTCTACAGGGCCCTTAAACTCAATTTTCTCTTTTGTAGTTACTGACTGGTAGTTTGTGGAGAAGTTGAGGTAACCCTGGTTTGTAGATGACTACAAGACTGCAAGTCCCTGTGAGCCCTGGTGCGAGCTGTGCTGCTGGCAGACAGTGGTGGTCTACAAGGCTATGTGGTCTACATTGCTTTGACAGAAGTGGACAGACCTCTTGAACCCAATGCATTTAACTTAACATTCTTCATGCACCTCCATTTTGTGTGAATCTCATGAAAACAGTCAGGAAATGGCAAAAAAATCCCTCAAAATGAACTATTTTGCGTACAGAAAATTAAGCCCATATATATATATATATATATGTCTCCCTTAAATTAATGTGAATTACTATAAATAAAACTATAGAATTTAAATGGTAAAGTACACTTGTAAGTAGCTATACATCATGGTAATATTTGTACTGTAAATAATGAGAAATATATACAATTCTAAATGAGACTTAATTTTTTTTTAAAGCAAAATATTTTTCAAATGAATTTTGACCCATTTTACAGAGCTCCTAAAAAGAGAGTGATGGAAAAAAGATGAGGATTTTGTTTTTACAATATATTTGCGTTCGCTCTTAGAACTTCTGCGTTCCCTAAGAAACTCTGTTTGCTCGCAAAACATTTGCATTTTTCTCAAGAAACTAAAATTTTTGCGTTCATTTAATATATTTGCATTCAATAGCAAAACCCATGTTCCCCAAGAAACTTTGTGTTCGCTTGCAAAACTTTTCTTGCAAAATATTTTGTGTTTCTTAGAGAAACGCTGCGCTTCCTGGCAAAACGGTTGTGTTTGTTTTCTCAAGAAGCTTTGTGTTTGCTCACAAAGCTTTAGCGTTCCTTCAATACATTAGCTATCAATTACAAAACCCGCGTTCCTCAAGAAGCGTTGTGTTCGCTTGCAAAACTTTTAGATTCTCTTTAGAAGCTTTGCGTTCTCTCGCAAAACTTTTGCATTTCCTAGAGAAACTTTTGTATTTGTGTTGTGATGGAAATAATATAAGGTAGAAGAAAAAACTATATTTCTGTGCTTTTTTGAGTGAAAGCAAAAGATTTGCGAGCGAATGCAGTTTCCCAGGAGAATTCAACCCTTTTACAAGAGAACAGTGAAATGTAATTTTTCCTCCAATCTCATATTTTTTCCATCACCGTGTCCCCTTAGGGGCTCCGTACCATTTTTGTCCTTTTAGATATCCAGTTAAAAAGGGAAGCTCAAAAATCCAAAGGAAACACACCAGCCTTGAACACAGGGATGGCTACATCTGTTCTCACACCACACTCTACTGATTTCATGATCTCAGTTCGCAACACCAAACTACAAATTTAAAACACTGTCCTAATGCTGCTCAGATCACAATTTTAAAGGTCTTTGTGAGGGAATGTGACCCTTTTTCCCTTTTGGAAGGCACGGACGTCTCTCCTCGCCTCAGAGTGAAGGGGTGCGTGTATGTGGAGCTGGAAGAAGACAACAGGAATGAACAGATACTGTCGTATTAACAGTGTGTAAACCGTACGGGACCGTTTGAGAGGCCGTTACTGATACAATATGGTGCCATATCTATCTGTGCTGAAGAAACTATGACCTAAATAGAGCTATAAAACAAAAACGATGAGCCCTAGCCCGACGTGAGGTCTCACAAAAACAGTCAGTTCATATTCAGTCATGGACTTGAAACTGGTGAAACGCATCAGGACAATATCATACGTTAGATGAGCTATTTCGCAGTTTGTCCCTATAAGTCAACATTGTGGAACAGTTCAAAGCCAGTGGATTAAATCTATTAAGGGTTTTCCTATCAAATGAATGCATCAGGAACATAATCAAAGGAAAGCATAACATAAAAAATACTAAATACAGAAAAGTGAGTCTTGGTTGAGTTTGCTAGTGTTTTCAGCTGTTAGTCCACAGTAGGTCATCATCTATTGCTCTTTTTAGTCCAGTGACCACTGCTAGGGGACTAGAGAAGGACGGACCCAGATGAGGCCAATCCTACGCGACATTAAGGAATGCGTTTGAGAGGTCAGTGTGGAAGTTGCACACTGCTGCTGTTTGTGAAAGTTGAGTCCGGAAGAATCACAGCACCAGTGTCAATTCCTGCAAAATGGGGTGACTCACCCTTGTGCAATGCATCATGGGATGTTTCACGGGGAGACGGGATTGTTCTACATGGGGAAAATTCTCCGTTCCGTATAAGGAGGAAGAGGACATACTTGGACTGTTCAGCGAGTCTGCACTTCCCTCTCTGTCCACTAGGTGTGCCATCCACTTCCTTCCTTCCTTCCTCTCCTTCCCCTTTCGTTGTGCAATATCATCACACTCCTCACGTCTCCAGACTCCACGGGCAGGGGAGAGAGCAGGTTAGAAAAAAAGCACCTTTTATTTGGCTTTAATGTACAATAAAGAAATCAAAGAGTTAAAAAGTACAATAAAAAGGGAGAAGGGAAAGATGGTGTGTATATAAAGACGTCAAGCGCCACGTCTGTAGGGCTGCTGCACAGAACGTGACGAGTCTCAACCTGTTCCTGCAGACAACACAAAAAGAAAGAGAGCGAATTACGTACGAGCAAACTCGACGACACACCCTTTGCGCCACTTATTAGCTTGATACTCCATCATCAGCCTGAAAAATCTCAATCCACTCTGTTCGCTAGGGAACTCTGGGATGATTTTTGAGGAGGAAGCAGTTTTGGCTGATGGTCAGACTGTATTGTGTTGTTGGCAGACAGATGTTTGTGGTTTTACAAGGGGTCTTACCCTCTTCCTCTCCTCCCCAGCCCTCTGCGACGCCAGCGAGCTGGTAATGCTTCTTCCTCAGTTCACCCAGTCTCTCCCGCTCTTTCTGCAGCCGAGTCTCCAGCTCCAGCACCAGCACCTGAGACGTGTTAAATGGTCAGATTTAGGGATGTTCATTTCGGTTATTTTTCTTAACCGACGCTCGTTAACCGATTATTAACCGTTAACCGACAAGATTATTTTAAATTAGAATTGCATTAAATTAGAAAGGATAAGTGTCTGTGAACTGTTAAAAATACTAACATTTGTTTCCCGGGGATTAATTTTACATGCGCAAAAAGCAGCAAACAACAGAACATGAGGATTCACATGGTCATCATATCACATCACGCACCTGCGCTTCTGCGAGCTGCGAAAAACAATAAAGCTAGGCTATATATATATAAAACGAATAAATAGGCCTATATGAGAAATATATATTTTTACTTAAATAAATTAAGAAAACGAAAGAAAAACTGTGCAACAAGTAGCCTAGTATGCAGAGTTTCAGTTTATTTTTGTGCTGCGCGAAATGAAACGGTCGGCAGAAAGCGGCATCCTATTTTTCTTTAGGCTTATTTTACAAAAGCACAAAGATTTGTTTTTATTGTGAATGTACACAAATAAAGGCAAACCTTTTACAATTCCGATTATCTTTAAGACTAAAAGGAGTAGTTTATTCCACTGTTAGAAGGAAAAAATTCAAGTGATTGCGCTGGCACCTCATGCACAAACACAGTTAAGCATTGCTACCTTGACAATAATGCAGCCTGTTCATTATCATAATAAAATATAGTCAGTCAAACATATGGAAAAAAACACACTGCTCAGTTTAAATATGTAATAAAATCTGTGCCGTTAAGCGTTATCAGCGTACCGCCGTGATGTTATGCAAAACATTTTGTTTTACGTGGATATTTGAACGCGAGTGAAGTAGGCTACATAATAAAGAATAATCTGCCATTCAAATACATCGCGAATACGGAAACATTTGTTTTTGTGTCGAATGAGAGACCCAACGTTGGTTTCAGTTTCGTTTTAGCCTAAATGAATTAGTTTTGGCTTGTTTATATTGCTATAGCTTCTTATATTTTTAATTCTTGTTCTTTTCTAAATACTGTTAATTGAAAGGCTTTGTTGTGGAGTGAGGGGAACTAAAATAGCCTAGCTATGTTTACAGTGTTTATTATAATGTTTGTAAACATTTCGCGTCTGCATTAGGCCCATTTCTGAATGAAATAATAAAATGCGACTTATACGCGACTTGCAATTTTTTATACGCATAGCGTATTTTAACCATGCAGCAAACCTTTTTAAATATTTTGATAAATTACTGAAACAAATAAATAAATAAATGACTTTTTAAACCGTTTAACTGATTGTATTAATCGGTCAAAATTCTTACGGTCGGTTAACGGTTAAAATGAACATCCCTAGTCAGATTTGTTCACATACTTGCATAAATACATGAGAAACAGTTTAACACACTCTCACCTGTGCGTCCATCTCTTGCCTCTTGATCTGAGTGAGTGTCATTGCGGAAAAGTCCATTGTTTCTGAAATGAAAAGAATTCAGCATTACTTATCAAAAATGAAATTGTTTGGCTTTTAATTCATGCCTAACAGCTTTCAGACTATTGAGATGATTTTCTTGTTTGTAGGTGTTTGTCCAATAAAATCAATATTTCACCAGGCTATGACACGCACATTTTAAATAACCATATAAAATAAAATAATTAGTAATAGTGATGATAGTTTTATTGCACTTTATTTAGTAAGTTTATTGGAAAAAAACAAACTACTACTATATTTTAAAATTTACATTTTTATTAAATAAAACTTTTCAACATTTTCAAAGCTAAAATCAGCAAGCTTTTATTTTTTTAATTATATATATATATACAGTGGTGTGAAAAAGTGTTGGCCCCCTTCCTGGTTTAATTTTTTTTGCATATTTGCACACATTTTTTCAATGATTCTCCACTCTCCATCAATGAATAAAAATTGTCTGTTTTTACTAGCTGTTGCATCCACAATATCTGCTGTTGGTCTGGATATAAAAGGAAACACAATGTCACTGACTCCATGTGACTGGTCAGTGTTGTTTAAATGCCATTGCCTCCAGAGAAGAGCATCAGCACAAGAGCTTGTGTGGAGGAGAGCCTGACTGTGTAGACTTGCTCATTCCTGTATCTCTGGAGGGCACCATAAACCAGTTTTCATAGCTATAGTTAAAAGTGAAATGGGGCAATGAGACTGTGGAGGTCAATAAGAAATAAAATAAGACTGCTGCTGCCACTGTTATTTCTTTCTTCTGGATCTTATTTAATGAATGATGGGGGAATGAAATTATGAGGAAAATGTTGCAAGCCTAATTCAAACCTGAATTTCCCAAATAAGCAGCACAACTAAATGTGTCTGAGAAAGTTGAGTCAGGAGGATGTGCTGTACATGTCTAACAAAACCTCACCTGTGTCCTCGATCTGAGACTTGCCGGACTTGGTTGATGCCACGACCCCTGCTGTGGCCTGGGTGACCCCTTTGGAGGCCTGCTGGAGACGGGAAAGGTTTGGACTGTCCTTGTCTGCTTTGACCTAAAGAGATAAAACAGATTACTGTCATTATACTGCTTTAAAATTCATTCAAGTGCAAATGTTGCTGGCAATTTGTTGTTGTACCTTAGATGCTGCGACCAGCTGAGCTGTGCTGGCAGCGATCTCATGTGAACACACCATCAGCTCCTCAAACTTGCCCTTTCCTTGCACCATCTGATCAGCTGCATCACTGCAGGAAGAAGAAGAAAAAAAAAAAAACTTTACTAGTACAGTGGTGATAGTTCATAGATAAATTAGTGTAGGATTCAAACCATAGCCGGCCCAATGATTTATGCAATGTGGAAAACACAGACTCCAGAACTGCAAAATCCAGTCATTAAAATGGAATTTACAGTATAATGCGAAATGTCACAGAATTGGACAACTTTTGGATGAATAAATCAAAAGTAGAGCTTTACACGATCAATTTCAAATTGCGATATGGACTAATGTCTTTTGGTTATTAAATCGCAAAAAGAAATATAAAGTCTACATGTTCTGTGCGTCTAAGAGTGAACGAGTGGCTCCGTTTTTATTTCTACTGTAAAATGTACTAAGTAATAATACTAACAATAACACAATTTATTAAAACTTTAATGAATCACAAAAAAGGTTTTTATTTATTTGAATTTATACAGTAAACATTTTTTTGTGCAGCACTTCATATGGCAAAAAATAAAAAGGCAATGTTTTATTGTATATACATTTTTGTATTTTCATTTGATTACAAGTTTTATGGCTTAATTAGTCACAGTTTTTGATGATAAATTTGCTTAAAACATATCTATAAAATATATAAACAGTAAAGCAGAAAAAAAGAAGGGGCATGTCAAAAAAATAAAACTGATTTAATAGGGCCTTGTTATTATTAACATTTTAATAAATAATAAAGTTTTATGAATTCAATTCATTGCACATGCTTTTAATGATTCAACTGTAATTAAACTATTAAAATGAACAACACAGCATTTGAGAAAAAATAAAAACTGAATTTATAAAAAATAAATAAATACAATTGAAAAATAAATCTGATTTGATAAAAACCTACAAGCTTTCTGTTACCTACTGAGATTTTTAATCACTGTCACAGCGTCCTCCAAAAATGATAAACATTTTTATTTTCTCACTGTCTAACATACTCACACCAACATGGTGGCACCCCAGCCCACGGCCTTGGAGGCGGAAATGAGACCTTCCGTCCATCGGGAATTCTTGGCGTAGAACTCCTTCATAGATGCGGCCCCCTGTGAACACAGCAGCACCTTCATTAACACCTGTTTCTGTCATTTTAAGCTTGAGTTTTCCTGAAAGTGTTAGATGGGTTGACTCACCCTGCCGCTCTCCACGATGTCCTTCTGCAGGTCTTTGGAGGACAGCACCAGCACTTTGATGGCCTGCATAAGATCTGTGCAGGACGCCAAGATCCTGCAAGGGGCGACAGAGAGCAACATTTAAACACTCACAGGACTGCTTCGAATGCACCAGGGTGGGTCTACTAATGCGTCTGGGTGAATGTAAACGTGCAGCGCTATCCAAGTGAAATAAGCTCAGCATGGAGACATTCTGATCACTGAATACCCAAATTAAATCTGTAAAACTGCTTTTGTAACTGTAACAGTAATCGTAAAAACATTACTTGGTCAGCCTGACCTTTCATTGACTTCCATTTTGATTCCAGTGTCAACCGCCCTGGACTTATTGAGCATTTCCTGTTTGAGAGCAAAGGGGAAAAACATTAGAGGAGTAGATTTTGGAGCACTTCATATTTTATTAAGCATCTGTCTGTAGGACAGGGAAAGCAGGGAGTCGTCTGATTACCTCAATCCTGGCGGCGGCTGACTCCACAGCTGCCGATGTGGCTGCCATCTCCTGCTCCACCAGATCTCCCAGCTCCCCTTGCTGCAGTTCTAGACCCCGAGGACGCAACTTCTGCTCAGAGAAAACAAAACAGCATACTACATCTATTTCTTTTTCATATTTATATAACATGCATACTCACGGAATACCTGGATGATACATACTGAATGCTAAAATGTGAGGCATATAACCAAAGCACACTCTGTGGACTTCAGTATCCCACAATGCAATCTGCTTGAACTTTCAACTGCAGTATGGCCAATGATTATCTGATATTAAAATCTCTTTCTTGACTCTTAATTGATTGAAGTGCCAAATATTAAGACATATTAGCCCCTTAACCTTCTATTCCAAGGTGAAAAATAAATCTGAATATCAATTGCAAGTTTTAAAAACCCTCCTTCTTGACTCATTTGATCGGATTGTTGACTAAAACTGTTACAAATTGTTTTCGATAACTGAAATTAAATTAAATGAAAATAAAATAAAATAAATATGTAATATTAGTTGAAAAACTGAATGAAAATTAGAAAAGTTGCACTGGCGAAAAAAAAAAAAGTTAAAGTACTATAATTGTTAATAAAACTAAATATAAAAAAAATAAATAGAAATATAAAAAAAAAAAAATTGTGGATGACAAAAGCACATACAATTACTACAACTAAAATTAAAAAGAAAACTGAAAATGTAAAAATAAAGGGCCAGATTTACTAAACAGGCCAAATTAGTGTTAGAGCGCAGTTCCATAAAAACGCAGATGGGAGGAGAAGGGTATAACTGCAGCCCTGAGATCTCCAAATGGGGGTGGGAGCTCCAAATTAGGGCCAAATTATGACACGCATGCACAATTTTTTCCTCCAATCCACTTCAGTGCAAACTCCGCCCCACAGCTGATTCTAAAGATTTTATTGGTTGTGTCAATTAAAGTGTTGATTTCCTACATTATGCTACAAAAAATGCTAACCCCTAAACCTACCCCACATCTGACCCTAACCTTAACCAGTGAAATTGACTGCACGGCGGGATTGGCGCTGAATAGCGTGGTAAAGAAAGTTGCAGTTCAGGAGATAAACAGTTGATAAGATTATGCGATATGAGATCGTTTCGCAACTCCCCAACCGGACCTCACCGGACAATGGCACCTTTTTAGTTACACCCAGCGTCACTACCCCCTCCTACCCTGCGAATTTCGAGCCCCGGGACGCCCCCGTTGCTTAGAACAAAGCGATAGAGTGAAATCTTTCCCCTGCGCTGCGCTGGGACGGCTCGTGGGAGAGCTCGTGGGTGATTCCCGTTTATATCATTAAGCAGAGGTTCAAACTCCAGTCCGAACAACGACTGGCCACAAGCTTTGGGCTCTGCTCTCACGGAGAATATTTACTTACAGTATATAGCATATTTTATTTTAGATGAACTAGAAACAATGTTACATTTATAAAGTTTTATTTTGAAATGTAAGTCAACAATTGGCTGGAGCCAGAGTTAATGGTGAAAGTCTTTGCACGAGGAGACCCCGCCCCATTTTGGAGGTTCTGCCCACTTTTGGAGTTCACGCCCCATTTTGGAGATCTCCGGTCTGCAGTTTTACCTACTTGGACGGGAGGGGGAAATTTTGCGGGTGATTTATTGACAAGGTCTCATTTTCATAATGACCAGCGCAATCTACCAAGAGCGGCGCAAATTACCGCCTGCTTTTAAGACATGCTTTTATTGGCCGTTAAATAATGCCGCAAATACCAGAACAGTTTTTTAACGCCAAAAGAGGGTTTGCGCAGGCACAAACTGATAGTAAATCTGGACCCAAAGCTGGTAACACTTTGACTGTGTCCTTGTTAGATGTTACATGTACTTACTATAGTAATAACAAATTATGCATAATTACATGCAACTAACTAACCATAAAACAAACCCTCATCCTAACCATATAGTAAATGCATGTAGCTAATTACAACTACTTAGTACTTAAATGTATAATTACACTGTAACAAGGACACCTTAAAATGAAAGTATACTAAAAGCCAATTCAAAATATGAACAAACACTATAATAATACTAATATACTAAACACTGGCTAGTACACAGTATATCACATACGGTATGAAGTAACCAGTACACAAAAAAGTATCCCATACTAGTTTTGGCCTAATTTAAATGACTATCAATAAAAATTATTCTCTCTACCAATTTACATGCTGCTTTATTCAATCCACTGTTACTATACTAAAACGAGGACTGTCTCTCAGTGGCTCGCTCACCTCGCCCAAGGCCATCACGGTATCCAGTGCCGCCCTTAGCCGGCTGCAGTCTGCCGTCCCATTAGACTCCTGCTCCTTGAGCTGGCAGAGCAACGCCAGGGCCTCCGCGCCACACGCCTTCACGTTGTCTGCCAATGCTGCCCACAGACAGACAAAGGCAAAGAAAGCAGTCAGACGAGCCATCTGTCACCTGCAGACACTCCACATACGCTCGGGCAGACACACATTTCCTGTGACGTGATCACTCGTGCACGTGGGAACCGCACATTAGCCGTTTTGAGTTATAGCATGCTCCTTTAAAGCAGCTCTACCGAAATCAACAGACCTCCGGCGACGGAGTTATTAACAGAACCGCAGTGACACTAATGAAATTCATGATGTATGGTGACCAAGTCAAACAGAAAGTGTTGGATGTTTCTCTATATGTGGATATAGCAGTGCTGTGAAATATTTAGCAGTTTAATAATAGAAATGACATTTATGCTGTCTATATCAAACGGATAGTTCTGGATGCTGATTGGTCAATACAGTGTATGTGTCAATGATGTCAATGAATGTGGCTTTAAGGAAGTATTTACATAGAGGTGCATCAGCTGTGCTGATATGATAACATATCAGCTCTTTTGAATACGTTTCGGGAGATTGACGTCTCGTGCTCACCGTCAGCTTGCTCCACTGGCACCATGTGTGAGGTGGCGCTGCCCTGCACGATGACATCGCCCACCAGGTGAGCGAACTGAGTCACTGCCCGCACCAGTCCAGACACATCTATCACACACATACAGGAATATCAGTGAGAAACTGTTTCAACATGATCATATGAGTGCCTCTCATCTCAACAAAAGTGATGAAATTAAGTCTGAATGCATTCATGGTGAATCATTTTTTACAAGGTATATTAGTTGAATTTTTTTTTGAGCTTGTGCATTTTCAGTGCAGAACAGTGATGGAGTTATATAAGTTTTCAATAGTGTAAAGTAGCTCAGCTGCCTTTAAAACTGTGCTGATTTTTTAGTACTGGGACAATTTTTCCAACAGTTAGCGTTGTAGCATGACAAATCACTACACCATGGATGTGTCACGATTTATTGTGCAGCCCTACTAGCAAATGAGCCAAAACAACAGCCTGACAGAATAATTTCCTTTGTCTCATGTACAGTCATTTCAAATATGACTCAGATATTTGTTTTAATGTTTCAGTTTGTTCAGAAAGCTCATTTCAATAAAAAAAGTAGACTACAAAATGAGTTAATCAAATTCTGTTCATGTTTTTTTTTAGAAAAATTATCATTGTATTTGTTTATTATATATAAATTTGTTTTTTATATACTTTATTATACTACTGCTTAAAACTTTGGAGTTAAAACTAAAGCTTCTATTCAGCAAGGATGCATTAAATTAATCAAAAGAGACAGTAAAGACATTTACAGTGGGGCAAAAAAGTATTTAGTCAGCCACCAACTGTGCAAGTTCTCCCACTTAAAAAGATGAGAGAGGCCTGTAATTTTCATCATAGGTATACCTCAACTATGAGAGACAAAATGAGGGAAAAAAATTTCAGAAAATCACATTGTAGGATTTTTAAAGAATTAATTGGTAAATTCCTCGGTAAAATAAGTATTTGGTCACCTACAAACAAGCAAGATTTCTGGCTCTCACAGACCTGTAACTTCTTCTTTAAGAGGCTCCTCTGTCCTCCACTCGTTACCTGTATTAATGGCATCTGTTTGAACTCATTATCAGTATAAAAGACACTGTAACAAATAATGTTGTTACAACAAATGCTGTTGTTTTAAAATTTCTATTCGACAAAGTATCCTGAAAAAAGTGTCATTCATCCACTTAAAGTGTCAAATCATGAATTCCACTAAAATATTAAACAGCACAATAGTTTTCAATATTGATAATAATAAATGCGGTAGTAATGATGCTGAAAATTCAGCTTTGCCATCAGAAGAACAAATAACACTCTATTACTACGGTATTATACTTTACCAAATAAATGCAGCCTTGTTGAAAATAAGACTTCTTTTAAGCTTTAAAAATCTTACCTAAATTCTTACAATGAGAATTATCTAAAAGATATTCTCTTTAGGAATCTGCAATTAAGCTAACTAAAAGAGAGAGTAACATCACTGTTCTTTAACTACTTTAAATGATGTGTAACTTGTAAAGCTATCTTGTAACTTTCGCAACACTGCTGGAGTGAATGGTACATTGATGAATGCTGGTTAAGTAGGGAAATTAGTGTATGTGTGTGTGCGCGCGCATATAATTCACCAGTATTATCTGATACAAAGCCGTCTCTGGCCGACTGCAGTCTCTCCACGCAGTCCAGAGCCACCTGGCATCTGGACACCAGGTAATCTATACACACAAGAAGGTCTTTTAATATTCATTACGCTCTCGTAGGGCAATTCCTGCTGTGTGGTATATTCAGTGGGAAGGATTAAGGTAATTTGAGCTGGTCACTGACCGGCTGAACTGGTGCAGCTGATGTGTGCAGGGTCGTCTAGCTGATTCAGGCTGTCCTGTACGATCCTCCCCGCCTCCTCTAGTGCTGCCCGCAAAGCCGCCCAGCGCAGAGAGACCAGCTTGCTCTCCAGAGCCTGCTCACGACTCTCCTACAGATAGAAAGACAATGAAAACAGGCATTTTAGACTCCATGTTTGTGATATTTACAGCATTTGTCATCTTGTATAATGAATCTGAACTCATAAAAAGCCACTATTATAACAAGGCAACTAAAATCAATAGTAAACACAGAATATTTCACCTTTTCATTGAGTTGGTTTTGCAGGGTCTCAGCAGCTTTCACACCACTCTCCCTCTCATTGGTCAGACTGCTTTGCACACGCTCTAACTCCACCCCCAAACTGGCTAGCTCCGCCTCCTTCTGAGATACAGTCTCCATAAGCCCCGCCTTCTCAGCCTCTAGAGCAGACAGCTGAGTACTGAGCTGCTCGTTTGACTATACAAAGAGTGAATAGTTACGTCAATTACAAGATTTAATGTGACATCATGAGAAACAGTGATGTTATCGTTTATTGTTTACTAAAACTACTAATAATCATTAAGTTCATAAATTGAAAAAGCTTAAATCAAATAACAAAATTACTAAAATTAAAATGACAACTGAAAATATACAAATAAAAGCTATATAAATATTATATATTAATATAAAATATTCATTTCTTGTCTCAGTGTTTAGCGCAGTTATCGTTGCTAGGAAACGCTTGTTTTGTTTACTGTGTTGAGATGTGCTGAAGCTGCGTTTGGTCTCGTACTGTATCGCATACCTTGTCAGTGTCGTGCACTTGCTTAGCCCTTTGTTGTGATAAACAGTAAAGTGTGTTCAGCTGAATTCAATTTCCGTTTTGTCAAATGGGTATAAAAAAAAAGGATAGTACACCGCGGCAGCCCTCGTGTGAAGGCCTCCTCGTGTGAAGACCGAAGAGTGTAAAGACCATCGACTCTACCGTGCGACTCACAAATCAGGCAACCAACTGGACCTTATTTACACACTACACTGCTCCACTGATCATGTACTGGTTACTCCACTGCACACCTCGGATCACTTCCTCCTCACTCTCAACCTCAACATGGTTCCTGACACAACACATACCCCTCCACATGTCATCTTTCGAGGTAACCTACACTCACTCTCACCCTCCCGGCTATCTGCTATGGTTTCATCTTCGCTTCCTCCCCCTAAACAGTTAGCATATCTTGATGATAACAGTGCTACTGTACTGATACTTTCTGCTCCACTCTTAAATCTTGTTTAGACACTGTCTGCCCCTTGTCTTTCAGGCCAGCCCGTACCACCCCTTCTGCCCCTTGGCTATCTGATGTTCTCCGCGAGTATCATTCAAAGCTCAGGGCTGCTGAAAGGCTGTGGCGCAAATCAAAAAATACTACTGACCTTAATGTGTATCAGTC